AATGAAGGCCAGAAGTACATAACAACGTGTTTCAATATTATTATCCAACCTTCTTGTCGCTAAAATGTAAAAGCTGTACTTCTCACTTGCAGATTGAAATGATGGTAACTTCAATAACTGCACATTTATGATTTGAAGGCTACATGAGAGGCTTTTGTTTCATCATCACACTTTTCCCCAGCGACTGAATCCTCTATCCTGAGAGTGTGACTGTGTGTCTGTGAAGGAGACAGAAAAGTGTGTGTGACTCTGAATCTGTGGTCTCACGTGACAAAGCAGGTTTGCATGAGTAGCTGCACGTTATCGTGTCTCACTCATGTGTGTGTTTCTGGTTACAGTGTCTGTATGTGCTCTGACTGTTTCCTACATGAGACACTTTTCTGATTTCAGCAGATTACATCATAAAGAGGAAGTGGAAACAAAGCAGACTGGGGGATAGCCAGGATCTGAAGCTGAGCAGCCGAGCCGTCATCACAGGGGCGCTCCATCTAATGCTGCAAAAGTAAGTTGCGCTTAAATAAACAATTCATGGTTACTTTTTCTTGATAACAATTGATCCAACCACCCAGTACTTCTGTGCAGTGTCTTGTGCTGGTACAAAATACCTTGTAAGATGCTACCAACAAGGTGTTAATCACAAAGGTTCAGAGGTGTTGGTAGTTGTATTTTGAGAGTTTGGAGAGAGACAGGCTAGCTGTTTCCCATCACTTCCAGCCTTTGTGCTAAGCTAGGCTAATTGCCCCCTGCAGCTTCATATGTTATGCTTTCCTCTGGAGTCTGAATGTCACCAGATTTTACATTCAGGTTGATGTTAGTACAAAACTCAACAGTATATATAATATAGTTATAGTTGTTCCTAGACATCTTAATGCGAAAATGTAATACCTCTAAAGGTTTCGGAGTAAATGGAGGTTAAAGAGATAAGCGGAGGAGAGGTGAGCTGTCTGACTGCTGGATCTCATGAGACCTCTCTGTTATCTTCAACAACCCTGACAGGAGAGTCGCTCTGATGACCCCCGCCGCCATAATCCTTCCTGACATTACCACTTCCTCCTTCAGCTGTGGGGGGGGAAGTGGAGGAGGAAGAGGATAAAGCATCCACGGAGGTTTCTAACCTGAAGTCTGTGAGCTCCTCTAAGAGCTCAGAGAGAGACAAAATGACTAAGAGACCCTTTAATCAGGATGGAATGAGCTTATGAAAATATTATCAATAATTGATATTGAATACATTAATTTTAAATATCAAAATACTCTAAGACAGTCTGATCAGCTCTCCAACATGGTCCCTGTGGTCCCTTAAAGGAAGTGGTTAAAAAAAGTACTTATCAAAAGACACATCAATACCAATATATCATCAATAACCCTATATTGCACAATTTCAGTACGTAGTTTATTTATTGGTCTAATAGAAACATTGAATGTATATTCTAGATTGTGATCATAAAACATGTCAGGTAGTAAATCACGCAAACTACAAACACCTTAAAATTCTGTTTTATTTGCCGGATATAGAATATATAAATGTAGTTTCAGCCTGGTATTTAAACACCGGAAATAAATCCATTTAATGTACCTTTTAATCTTGTATTTCATACCTCTCTTATTCTATTTTAGAGTGTTTTGAAATGTAATTAAATGTAATTTTATAATGTGTTTCTGTGGCAGTATGTCTTAATGCTTTAAATGTATCTTCGAACCTTGTGATGTAATGTGCCTGACCATACCACTGTACATCTAAGTCACAAAACAGGCTAATTTTCTCTCTTTCTTTTACCAGTAAACTGCAGGTTGGGATTAAGGGCAACATCCCCTCTGCTGTTCCTGAAGCAGCCTGACAGATACCAACTGTGATCATGAATTACAGTCGCTCATACAGGAGGCATGTTGGAGGACGTAGAGAGAATGGAAGAGCTGCTCATGCTGGGTGAGATTTCCCCTGGGATAGACCCTGCCTTTGATCGTTATCACCTTTATTACCATTGGCATGTGATATGAGGAGGCGGCGAGGGGGAGGGTTGATTGATGAACTCGCAGGAAACTACATCATTTTTTTCAGCTGTGGATTCATAGGAAATCCCTAATTTACCACTTTCCTTGTTTAGTTTTGAGTCATTTCAAAGGGAAATATACTGCTGCACTGCTAGATAAGTTAGCTATTTGCATTTAGAGTGAATGAAAAGGCATGCACTGACTACATGTATGTGACAGTATGCCAACTCTGATCTCCTGCATGAAAGTCAGACATGTTACTTCGGCATTCATTTGAAAAACATTTATAAACATGCAAAACAGGGAAATCAAACTAGCTATAAAGTAATATGTTGGCATTAAAATATCTCAAAACGTACAAGTTATATTCAAATTAAGTTTACATTTAGTTGAGTTTGGATTATCCACAATGTTTCAACGATTGAAAAACGCTGTAGAGAAATTGAATCAATCCGAGACTCAGGGAAAAAGAGAATTGTATGAGCCTTTTTCCACACTTGCAGTCCCACAGGATATCAGCCTATCAGCCCTATATTAACATTGAAGTGCAAAATAACCATGAAGGGTCACAGTGGGTTCACAGCACAGCCTCCTACTCTGCAGGAGATCAAACATAAAACACAGAAGATCACACGACTACCACTACTGTGTTAGGCATTACATAATCCCATATGCACAGAAGAAGGAAAAAGCAAAAAAGGTAGTTTTGTTAACAGGGAGAAACACAGACTTAAGATGCTTTTGTAAGGGAATTACTGTAAGCTTGTGTTTTTTTATTTACAAAATATGACTTTGCATTAAAGGCCACCTATCACTGTATTTTTAGGCAATAGCATAGGTCTCAGATATATAAAAATATATAAAAATATGTCTAAGAAGTGTTTTGCTCAAAATACCAAACAGGTCACCCATTCTAGCCATGCCTCATATCCCTCTATTTCACTTCCTGTTTCAAAAGTGCTGATTTTGTGTATAAAGCTTAAGAACATTTAAAAAATGGATACAAAATAAAAAAGGAGGGGGCTGAGCTCATGCGGGACCCGGCAGCTACTGTCTAAACTAAATACTGCTGTGATGAAACGCCATATCATCAGTGGCGATCCTTGAGTCGGTGGGGGCCCTATGCAAACATTCACTGGGGGCCCCTCGAACCAGCTTTTCATCACCACGCACAGCCTGTTCGCAAGGAGCGCCCCTGCATAGCATGGATTATCAAGGATTATTGCTGAAACAGTATGGAGCTCAAAAGCTTTCTCTCTTGCCGGTTATACCACAAGGTGAGTTCCTTTTTATTTCCTGCTTCTTCACACACATGCTCTCCAGTACAGGTTAGCTCTGAGGGTTAACGATGCTAATGTGAACACCGACCATATTACGTCCAAAACAGTTTGGCATTGTTTCTGATAGCAACTTTCTGATAGTGCCGTGGGTCCACATTCCCCATATAACGTCATATCGGACGCAAATCTGGATCAGCTCCGTTGTACCCCCGTTTTTAGAGATTTGGGCACGGAGGAAAAGAGAGAGGGTTTTATTTTCTGACGCTGCGTGAGTTCCCCGACACACAAAAAGTGCATTTTGCATGATACAGTAGGTCCCCTTTAAATTCAAAGCTACCAAATAAAGTGTATGGATTGAGCTGTTTTCAGATGTTTTAGTAATATTTTTATATTAAGTTGAGTTTTAAATTGTAAAAAGATAAGGTAAAAATCTATACGTTTCTGCACATTAGAAAGTAGTTTAACTTACTGTCATTCACTGTGTTGAACTGACCTCAGCCAAGAAAGTCAGCTTGTTAGGCAGCCACTTATATCAATACTGATTGAGGCTCTAAAAATGGAGCAGATCAATACCAGCTAATGATTATCTCCGCACCAATTGACACAGTCAGTCAGGGTGATAGCACATTCTCTCTCAGTGTCTTTAAGGTCACCTGATGGTCGGAAAGATCAGAAGGTCATCTTCTAAGTTCGATCCAATAATAACAATTAGATATAGATTACATATAAAATGCCACCTTTATATAAAATAAGATGTTTGTAGCAGTTCATGGCTGAAGTATAATGACTTGCATAGCTAGCGAAGCCAAATAAAGACAGAGTGCAGGGAGAGTTTCTATGAGCCCTGCTTACGCTCAGTGACACGTAAGCATTGGGAATAAGACGAATAAAAACACTAAGTACGTCTCATTTTTTACCTGCTCCACCACTAATGACTTACCAGTTTGGCCTCAGAGCTCCAGTCAATGAATTAAGCGCTAACAAGTCCCATCAGACGGCGATGATTGATTGTTTTTTAAAAGGCTTGTTATTAATTTAGCAAATTACAAGAATCTCTGTGACATTAATTGTTTTGCTTATAAGCTAAAGTAAGTTAAATACTTTAAAGAGTGAAAAGAATAATATTGGATTTTGGCTTTTCGCAGCCAAGCTTGACCTCAGACCTCCCTGAAGACCAGTGTTAAAAAAAACACACTTTGCTTGTTAGCTGAAAGGGACAAGCAACCTGAAGTAAAAAAGTATCGCTCTCATATTAGTCATAAACAAGACACTCAAATTCAAATAATATTTTGCATTGTTTTTTATTTTTTATGGAGAAATGGCACACATTTATAAAGGCTAAAATTACAGGGGAAACAAACGAAAGCAAGTTATTAAGGGTAACAATGACCCAATGAACTGCAAGTTTAATTGTTCATAGCAGATCAATAATAGTTTTTCCAGAACTTTTTTGACAATATATGGACCTCAAATTACATTGACTGTTGTGTCATAAAATCTTTTATTTAGACGAATCTGAAACTAAAAAGCAATGCCAAATAACAATTTGATTGTCCTAACTAACTGCCATGAAAACTATGTATTTTAAGTGCTAACTACCAACTTCGATAGCATTTCACCCTCTTCCTCCTTGCATATATATTTGAATTATCCCCAAATGAAAAGATATCTTCAACATTTTGATTTGATATTTTAAAAAGTGTATTTTCTGTCTGCCTGTTGAGATCAGTGTCAGACAGATGTTATACACTCAGTGGTGCTGGTCAGACACACACCACAGTCACACCTCAGGGCCACGGGGTAGGTGTAGGTGGGGTCCACGGTGGGCTGGCAGTTTGGCAGCTTCACAGACACCAGGCGAGTCTCGTTGTAGGTACAGACACGCTGGTGGGACTCGACGAAGGGAGGGTCCAGGACGGGCTTCTGGAAATAGGAAAACAGAAAAACAGAACTTAGGAACCTAACATTGTGATGAAGTTCTTGATGATTGGCTATGACACATTTCAGGCAATGATTTTTAGTTTGAACTCCCTTTCAGAGTATTGAACTCATAAATGCCTCTTCTTGTTCTAGATGCACAAGTTCTCTTAACTAATTGAATGGCTTCAGCTTTGTGTTACATAATAATCATTTGTTAGTTCAGTTTAGAAGACGTCAAGTCACGTTAACTTTATTTATACACCCTAATTTGCCTCTATAGGGGCCAGCTAAAATCTGTACAGCATTCAACACCCTCTGTCCTTTACCACTAACAAACAAACAATTATTCTTGACTGAGTCATTACGTTCCTGAATTTGCATGCTTGCAGAGTACTTAGCTAACAATACAAATTCATGAGGATTCATGGGATGTAGTGAAACCTTAAAAATGGAGCCTGTACTGTTTTGAAAGTTGCTCAAGTTTATTGTGTTGCTGTTGTGTATCTTAAGACCCAACAAGCACATTGAATATGTGGTTTTGCATTCCTCTTATTCTCCTTTTTATTCACCCCCTGCATTGCTTGTATGTATCATATCACTGGCAAACTCACGGCATTCATGTTCATTCTTATGCAAAATGTTTTAAGTGTATAAAACAATTGTAGGGCCCATTCGTCCAAACAAAGTGTTCAGAAACATCACCAGGCTCCTTTAATGACTCTTTTCCTACAAACCAACCTTTAGTTTCTCAACAGTAGCTTGGCATGGAAACACCTTATCCCCCTTATTACACTTTTCATTTTTAATAAAATATTTTGCTAAGCTTCTCATTATTTGCACATAACTAATTTGGCAGTGAACCTCCGTTTTGCTATAAGCTGTGTTTGTAAAGAGATTTGTGACACATCTGCAAAGCCTCTATTAATTGCTTTTGGGTTTGGTGTTCCAGGAATTTAATCTTTCTCTCCGGAAAGTTCGCCATTATCTTGATGCGCAGAAGATGATTTTGTGAATCCTGAAGCTGGGTGTAATAAGAGACTGTTCTGCAACTCCAGACCACCTATTAGTCCTACATACATGTCTTTAAACTGAGACATTGACTCCCTGCAGTGTATGCTGACCTCTCTGAGCGGCAGAGCAGATTTATAAAATGCTTTTCCTCCCTAAGGGGATCTAAAGAGAATCACAAAATGAAATTTGGAGTCTTACTAGCCCACCAGCTTCTCTGCAATAATAAAAAAAAGGGAGAATCATGAGCCTCCTAATACCTCCTATCCCTCAATACAATATCTGAGATGAAACTTGAGATTTCACAGCATTGTTTTGTAATCATTATGCGTTGGCTTATAAAAATCCAATTGTGTCATTTATGCACTTGAGGCATTGTTAAGAAAACCGCTGCTGTCACTTCAATCTCCGGATTGCACGCTGCTTTCCATCCTGGCAGAACGCTAACTCGATTTCAGTGCACACTTTCCTCCTCCATTCTTATGCAAGATGTGTACTTCACACAGCCTCCCATTACTAGGAGACAACAATGAGATCATTTACAGTTATTATAAAAATAGAATGTATTGTTTTTCGGAATCAAATGCATATAGATCTCTCTATCTGTTCCTCTATGTATTTGTCTATCTATCTATCTGTGTGAATTCACCATCTCCACCCTCCCTGCGGAGGGTGTAAAACGAAAACAAGTTTCTCCATGGGGATCTCACATCCCTCTGTATTTGCCTCTCTGTCTGTCTTTCTCTGTGTAGATGTCTGTCTGAGTGGCAGAATCTTCATTTAATCCATCATCTTCTTTTTTTTTCTTCAAATGTAATCCATGCAAACAGCACACTAATGTCTGTCCTATAAAGTTGTGTGTGTGTGTGTGTGTGTGTGTGTGTGTGTGTGTGTGTGTGTGTGTGTGTGTGTGGTACAGCAGCTACCTCCCTGCCACTCACCTCCCAGGTCTCACAGCGCCCCCAGCAGGCGTCGGTGGTGATGTGCAGCCCCCCGCAGCCAGGCTTTCTGGCCTGGAAGGTGAATTCCCGGACGGCACATCCAATGAAGCGCCGCAGGTTGACGGCTGACGCCCTGTGCGGGGAGTGTGGCTGCAGGGAGACGCAGAGCAGGAACCAGCACAGCACCAGGCCAGGCCTCCTCAGGGTGAGAGAAGAGATGCAAAAAAACATGAAGACCTTTTACAGTGTTTTCATATGTGAAGGCAAATCAATTGAATGAGGATTCTGTAACCCTCAGGCTTAAAGAATGGGCATAGAAGGGCACAAAATGTCAATGACCTGCGCAAGGACTCTAAAGCAGGGCAGAGAATCAATCTCAAACAGCTCAAGGTCCAGGTATATTTCATGGCTTTTGAAACCACATAGTATTCTGAGGTCTGTTATGTCACTGTGAAGGGGTCTTATTCAAGATGTCTTACCAACTCCCCTAGCTCAATTATTTTAATTATTTATATGACAAGAATTCTACATTTATTCCAATTTTATATTAATAAGAGATGTTTATTGTTAGATTGTGTTCAGGCAAATTCAAGGAACATGAACCTTGGTTGGGCTCCTTTCTCTGAAGCCAGACTGCACCTTGTGCTGTTTAAAAAGAGATCATCTGACTTCGCCTGACTCTAATTCCCAGGGCCGTTTCTAGCTTGTGGGGGGCCCTATGCAAGATGCTGTTTGGGGCCCCGAGTTTTTACAGTTTTTTAACTACAATGGGGGGGATTCCGAAGCCTTTAAGATGATCTGTGGAGATGCATCAATCTGTTACACTTTAATAGGAAAACAGGCTAATTTCACAAAAACCAAGCAATTGAATATTACAAAAAATGATATTAAAAAGGTAAACAATAAGGCTCCTCTATGTCAATAAATGCAAGAGATGCAGCATTTTCTCAACAATGTTTAATTTACATTTCTCATCTTCCTCAGACGTCACTCATTGGCTGACAGCCTAACAATGATTTGGACTTTATTACCCCAAAAACACAAGCCACAGCTTTGCTATCATTGCAGCTTAGTTGTGATAATATCCTACATTGGATGTGTAAGCATATAATGCTTCACCGAACACAGGAGGGGGCTTGGCTGTCTACAAATAAAGACGGCTCATTTTAATTCTCCCCAAATATATTGAGGCTGAACCTGAACTTTGAATTCTCTGCTCCCATCATAATCTTGGCGATCTTGTTAAAATTGTGAATGCAGAATTAGAAATACTATGTAACTGGTTCGCAGTTAATAAATTATCCCTTAATGTG